AAATCGGCCAACACATATATTCTTCCACTTTCTATCATTTTCTTCAATATTTCTCCAATATTCCATCATCTTCTTCAATACTTTTCTGGTAATTCTATTTCCTCCATTGAAATTTCAAGCTTCTTAGTTGCAATCTTTCAAGTGTCTTATATTTCTTCTTTTATTAAGGATATTAGGAGGTAAATTTCAACTCCTTATCTTATACGACTATTATGTATTTCAAGTTATTAATTTTCTTATGAATTATGTTGGGACAAAGAGTCAATTGGAGATAAGGAGGAGGAAATTTGCAAAAGAGTGTGGTTTCTTCACACAAGGTAAGGAAAACCTCCCTTTAATATGAAATAAGAATTAGGTTTCTATGTTTAGTATTAGGGAACCTTAATTCTTGTCACACAAAGGAAATTGAGCTTGGTTTGATGCTATAATTTGCAATTGATGGATTTATATGTGAATTGTAGAAAATTGAAGTTTGATGGCAATTAACAGAAATAGTTGTGTCATGAGCAATTAACATATTACAAGGGAGGTTATTATCGATCATTTGACATGTTTTCACAGGGATAATGGATAGGAAAGGTTAGGGAGTAAATGGAGGTAAATAGGTATGGAAAAGCCTTAAAAAAAAAAAAAAAAAAAGGCATGTTACGATGGTTGCCACTATTAAATCTGTGGCTTTCTGAGCCATTTTTGGACATCTTACCTATCGAACTGGGTTGAGTCCTAAACATAAAGGTTGTAGCCCTTCCTTTAATCTTTAAAAAGAGACCAATATCATATTAATCCAATGTGTATAACTCGAGATATGTCTTCTTGAATATGACCTGTGCAGCATGACTACCTCAAAAGTGCTTCCAATTTCTTAATTTATTTTTTAGCCTAATAATCTATGATTGATTCCAAGTATGGAAATAATGCTTAAAGGGTTTTAAAGCATGTTTGAATGAGTGATCTTTGTGATTATTTAATGATTGTATGAACAGATATATTTAATGTAATGAATGACCATGTATGTTATGTGTAATATGTTATGTATTACCTAATTATGAGCTTGTTTATGTATAAACAAGCCTAAGTGTGATATGTTTCTATGAATTTGTAATGCATCCACAAAATGGCTAGGATAAAATGATATATTCATATATGGAAAGTGTATGTTTTTAAAGAATATAGCACGTCAAGCATATTAATGATGAAAAAAGAGGGACTTGATCCCAAGTTTGAGCAAAATGCTTTCAAGGTACATAGACATGCATTTTGTCAACAAAATGATTCTTAAGTTTTATGGAAGCTGTTGTCATGTTATAGGGAACCTGAGCTCACTCATGCACATGTCTAGACCAAAAGAAATGAACAGTCCATAGCGTGCATGACCATGGGGACTGTGTTATAAGTTAAGGTTAGCTCATTGGCCAAAGGTTCCATAATCCATGCCTTAGCTTAGTCCGATCGGCAGAAAGTAAAAAGTTTTCAAAGAAAAATGTATTTATACATGCACAGCATTGAAGTGCATCATTCATGAACATTAAAGGAAAGCATTACATGAATTATATTATGCGTTATGATATGAACTGAATATGCTATGTTATATTACATATATGTTATTTTATGTTATTAATATTTGGTTCATGTACAAGTAAAAAAAATGTTATCCAAGTTTAAAAATGTTACATAGGTTAAATGATCGATACCCTTACTGAGTGATTAGCACTCATTTCCCTAGTTTCCATGTTTTGTAGGTAATAGTTAAAGCAGTAAGGGCAGCGGCAGTCAAGGAAGCGTAGGGGCACGCGTGTTAACTTTTGTTTAATTATATTACGATGTTATATAACGGATGTTGTTTTTGGATTAATGTATATATATATATATATATATATATATATATATAATATATATATAATATTATATATATATATATATATATATATATATATAAATATATATATATATATAAAACATTAATCCAAAAACTACATCCATTATATAACATCGTAATATATAGTAATATTTCGACAAGTTGATTATGAAAGTAATGTAAATGAGACGAGAAGTTTTTATTTATTTATTTTCATATAGTACATATTTGTAACCAAGATTTATGTTTTAAATTACACAACCTTCCAGGCGTAAATTTTATAAGTTTCCATTGTAATGGAATACTTAGAGGGTACTCGGCTCGAGGGGGGTGTTACAGTCACACAAGACTGTGGTGGTCACCCACAAGATCGTAAGATAGAGGAATTTTCAAAACAAAAGAAGCCTCTAGGAATTTTCAGAGTAATATCAGAGGTATATTCATCTTGAGAAGAATTGCATTGGAGAAGACGTATATATAGAAAACTTGAGCTCAATGAAAGGGGATAGGTGGCCAAAAAGATACTTTATGAAAAAGTTTATTCCAATTCTCTTGGGACTACCAACAAAGAGAATAAACTTTCTAGCACATTGAATAACAATTTGACAAGTGTTATGGACCATACAAATATCTCATAAGAGAATAATGACAGCTCATTGGAATTTAGAAATACAATAAGTGTTAACCAAAATATCTATCAGATGCATTGTGACCACTCTGACTCAGAGGTGTTCACACAATATAGTAGATAAACAACTTAATTGAAGGTGGTCACACTAGAAATTTAAACAAAATGATTGTGCTAAGACAAAGTGAGGTGTTCATACCATGACTTAGTGTTACCACACTAGATTCATAAGTTGACAAATAACTTATAGGAAGAAAGCAACATACAACCCACCTTAACATTCTACACATTTCATAACCCATATCCTATTTCTTTGCATAAATTCTGGGTTATGGGAAGAAAACATCACAGCTCTCCACCCTTACTTGCCTAAGTACTCTCACCAAGCTTGCGCTAGAATTAAGTCTCTTAAAAAGGTAGGAATGTGTTTTAAGCTCATCACCAAAGTATGTTATAATAGGCTAAATGAAAGAAAAACAAGGCTAAAATGTGTTTATAAAGCTCAAAGGGTTAACTAGTGCTAACAAAATATAGGGTTAGCTTGAAATGCTCAATCGGTCCAAAAATAGCCTAAATCATTTCCTAGGTAATGTGAATTCTAAGATTTCGCCTCAAGAGGTTATCAAGTGAGTTCTAGAGTTTGTTGAGATCGCAAAAACTGTCTTATGAAAAATTCACACATAAAACTTCTCTAAGCATTTATACTAATTAGCAATTCATACCAAAAACCAAGAGAGTCTCAGACTAGGTGCAATTAACACTCAAAATTTCTTTAATCCAAGGAAAAAATTAATGTCTTCTACATGTTACATATCGCAATCATAATACTATCATTGACATACAAATTAATCCAAGAAACTAAACAAAATTCAAAACAAAACACAAAAAAATTCCTCTTAAATCCATAAATTCCAAATTTTTTTGAAGAGACTTCCCTTACCCCCAACCTAAAATCTACATTGTTGCCAATGTACAAATGTAAACAAAAGGAAAAAGAGAAAAAGAAAATTTACCCCCCTTTTTGCAATAATGAAGTGTGAATTTGCGTGACAATTCCATCACCAACTTATTTCATTCCATTGTGGTTTATTTAATTCTGTCAAAACAAAAAAACTTACGGTGCACGTTATTGGCAACACACATAACTCGTTAAAATTTATGAGTTTAGAGAAACAAATAGAACATCAAAATTATTTAAACTAAATAGAAAACAATTAAACACACCTAAAAACTAACACCTGCAAAAACAACAAATTAATTAAAAAAAAAAAGTGGAAAAATAAATTTATCTACCTTTATTAGGACATCCTCCACCACTTCTCTAAGATATGTTATGGATCTATCCGCCAATTGAAGATGAACCGTGGTTGGCTTCACCTTTCCTAATCCAAGTCATAGAAAAAGGCATCAAGTTAATGTTAGCTCCTAGATCACATTAAATTTTATCAAAATAAAAACTACCAATGTTGTAAGGAATAGTAAAACTCCCTGGATCTCTTAATTTCGGTGGTAGTATCTTTTAAAGCAATGCATTACATTCCTCGGTGAGCATGACCGTGTCGTACTCTTCAAACTTCCTTTTGTGCATGAGGATCTCCTTCAGAAACTTCGCATACTTGGCATTTTCTCCAACACGTCTACAAAAGGAATACTGATATGTAAGCTTCTAAACATGTCCATGAACTTACCAAATTGTTTGTCTTGGTGCTGCTTCTGCATTCTATGAGGGTATGGTAAGGTAGCTTCCACTTTTTTTTCATCTTGATCAATTTTCTCTTTTTCCAAGGCTGTGCCATAGAATGCGTCATTTTTTCAGTTTGTCACGACATGATTGGTTTTGCCAAAATTCATGTTTTCACCACTTTCTTCAATTTCTTCACCTCTTTTTGGCTCCTCCAACTGCTTACCACTTCTTAAAGTAATGGCATTGACTTACTCCTTCAGATTCTTCTTCGTATCACTTGGTAACAATCCTTGAACTCTCCTCAACAAAATATTATGAATCTTCCCCAATTGAGTCTCAATATTTCTAATGGATGCAGATTGATTTTGCAAGAGTACTTCATATTTTTGGAGTTGAGTTTCATTCTTGTCAAATCTCTTGCTCAACTCCTCCATGAATTTAGTGAGCACACTCTCTAAATTAGATTCCCTTGCCCTCTTTGAAAATTGTTGACATAATTCACTTGTTTGGGTTGAGCAAACAGGCTCCCTACTTGATAATCTCTTGGCAAGTGATTTCCTGCACAAAATTCATAAGTTAGAGAAGAAGATTCAATAGCATTAACTTTCAGAGCTACACCTAATTGCTTTTCAATGGCTGAAAGTTGAGTAGCCAATGCGGTGTAGCCATCGACTTCATCCACTCCCACTACTTTCCTTGTTAAATTTCTCTTTGAAGGCCACATATAGTTATTGCTAGCCATCACCTCAACCAAGTTATAGGTTGCATCAATCATAACTTGCGTATTTGGAAACAAACCGTTATAAAACGTTTGCACTAGCAACCACATTAACAATCCATGGTGAGGACACTTCTGTAAGAGCTCTTTGTATCTTTCCCAAGATTCATGAAGCGAGTCCATATCTTTCTGGAAAAAATTTGTGATGTCACTTCTCATTTTGGCAGATTTGATAGGTGGAAACTACTTCACAAGGAATGTTTGAACTAACTCATCCCAAGTAGAAATGCCTCTAGGTGGTTGTGAAATCAACCAAACCTTAGCTTTATCCTTAAAAGAGTATGGGTAAAGCCTAAGCCTAATTACATCATCAGATACCCCATTGCGTTTGAATGTGTTGCAAAGCTCCAAAAAATGCAATATTCAAATTAGGATCATCACTTGTCAGCCCTCCAAATTACACTGAATGTTGTATCATCTAAATGATAGTTGGCTAGATTTCAAAGTTGTTCGCTTGAACCGGTAATGCTAGAAGCACATCCTTCAATTGTAGGACTAGAGTAGTCCTTAAGTGCTCTTTGAACTCTTCTCCTCCTGTATCAGCCGTTGAACTTAATCCATTGAATTTAATTCATGTGTATGATCAAAACCCAAAATCAAGAAAATGTTAGTACACTAAAAATCTAAAAAAAAAATAAAAGAACAAACTAAACCTAAAATTAAAATTAAAATTACTAACTACAAATAAACAAGGTAAAACAAGAACAAAAATCAAATTAGCAACAAAATAGCTCGTATTGATATTGGTAAAAAAAATAGTAATTCCCCGGCAACGGCGCCAAAAACTTGATAGGGGATCCACAAGTGTACGGAATCGTGCAAGTAATATAATTTGAGTAAACGGATATCAAACCCTAGAGAATTACTAGTTACCAATTACCAAAATAACCATCCTATTACTATTTGATTAACCAAAATTTTATGGAATGAATTAACTAAAACTAATAATTTAAAACAAACTAAAAACTAAAGAAGATTACAAAGAACACGTTGGTTGTAAAACAATTTGACTAAACCTAGGGCACAGATCTCACACCAATTTAATCCTATGTATTGATAATTATTGCTAAAATTATTAAGCTTTTTCTATAGGCCAAACTCCCTAGAATTTCAATAACTTTCTTTCAAACAATTACCAAATTAACCCTTTATTACTAACCCAATATATCTCTAAATTGGATTTAAGTCTTAAGAGATCATTACACTCTATGAAATTTACCAAAGCCTCCCAAATCGCGATAACATATCTCTAGAGTTTGCTCAACCTATGGTTTTATTACATTAGACCGACTAGATATCATCGCTTGATCTCAACCTAGTCCCTTAGATCAACCAACTCTCGGTACCAAAAGAATTGAAGCATTAAGAACCATAATAAAACTTAGAAAAGAATGCTTAACAAATATTAACAAGAATCAATAAGCACATATTCCTAAACTTGGGCTATATCTTAGCCCTAGAAACTTTATTTAGTTCATAATCAAATAAAAATAAAAAATCTTTTTTAATTTTATTTTTATTAAAATTTTAAATAAAACTTCCCTAGATTATGAACCAAAACCCCAAGAGTTGTTGTTTTGATTGACAAATAGTGGCTAATCTATTCTCCATCCTCTCTCTCCTTTAAATAATAGTTAAAGACATCTATTTATAATGCTAGGGTTTTAGGAGTGGGTTTACAATAATCCTATTCCGACTAGAATCTTAAATCCGAAAAAATTCGCAATTACATAAATCTAGATTTTTTAGGAAATCGTCGTCATGCCACGGCATGAGTTAACTATAACGACATGCACACAAATCATCAATTTCATCTATCGTTGTGCCGCTGCATGTGCAAAATCCTCAATTTCATCTATCGTTGTGCTGCGGCATGGGTAGACTTATGCCACAGCACACAAAGATAATCTTTTTCTTGTATGAATGTTTTTGAATTTGAAGAAGTCTTCAACATACAAATTGTATATCTTTTTGTTAGCTTTCCAATTCTTCAAGAATCATCACTAAAAAAGGTCTACAGCTCTAGATATCATAGAAATACCGAGGCATGCTCAATAATTAAACAATTTTCCAAATTTTGCAATTAATCTTCAAAACGTCATAACTTCCTTGTTTTAACTCTAAATCTTGAACCGCTTGTTTCCAGTTGTCACAAACTCCATTACCAACATAATTCTTCATTCGAAAATTATTTTTAAGCATCTATAGCTTGAAAACACACAAAACATACCTGTGATACCATAAAAGACATTTATGAAATAATTAAGCCAAATCACACAACTTGAACCTAATTTCTCACAAATAATACCAATAAACCACTAAAGTAGAAGGGTATTTTCAAGCACTTATCAGATACTAATTCGAATTTATTATGCTGACTGAAAAAATGAGGAAGTTTGAAAAGCATACTTGTTGAACGATCCTTGCCAACCTAAAGATCATAACTTTCCTTTCACTCTTTTCGAAGATAAAAAGCGTAGTTTTACATCAGAGAGTCACAAGGAAGGTCCAAGTTAGATGGAATATAGTGTCACAAAAGATTGCATCTTTTGTTTCAATTGTTATCTTTTCAAAATCGATTATGGTGACCAAATAGGTGGTGAATGTAATGCCCCACTTAAGGTACGTAGCTAATGTTTCTCCTTTTTGTTCTTATTTGAGTCGGTTTATTAGTACTATTTGTTTAATTGGCCTTTGATTGAGTGGTATGTTGAATACTTGCCTTGAAATTGGTTGAAAATAGTTTAGTGTTCCAGGCTTCGCCGGGGCGAAGAAGAATCTTCACCGTGGCGAAGAGGTGTTGAAGCCGGGGAAGCTGCTGGATAGTTTCGCCGTGGCGACAGAAGCTTTTTCGCCGCAGCGACGGGCCGATCAAAATGTTGGTTAAGTTTTAGATATTTTCTTCCCTAAGGGCAATTTGACCATTCTACCCCTAATTAGTAGGAAAAGTGGGGCGTAAAATATAAGAATTTTGCTTGGTGAATATGTTCATATGGGGTTGTGTTTGTAATGAATCAAAGGGTATAGATGGAATTCCCAAGGAAGAGTAAGGGCAAAATGGGAATGCTTGTGCATAAATTGTATTAAAAGGAATTAAGTCATTGCAAAACCCTTCATTCTTCTTCTCCACCGCCACTCTCCTTTTTACTTGCTCTCAACTTCTCTTCCAATTGTTCAAGGAATTTTAGAGGGCTTTTGGAGTGATTTGGGGTAGAAGATCAATCTAAGACATCCTAAGGTAAGGATTCTTGCTTTGGATGTGAAGTTTTGTGAGATTTTATGTATATTTGAATATTGAGGTCTCTTGGTTGAATTGTGTAATTGTTTAAAAGGTAGAGGAAATCAAGCAAACCAAGAGAAAGGAAGAGCTAGTGAGATCTCTCCATCACAAGGCAAGTAAACCCCAACCCAAGTAGAGATTTGAGAACTTTCTTGAATAGGGAGTTAATTGCAATTATGTGTGTATTATGTGTGTATGTATATACATGTGATATGCTATGTTATTAAGATTCAAATGGAGATAACTATTGCTTTATGGTTGTTCATACACTTTGATTATGAGAAGTGAGATGTGGGTTGGGAATGTAGTTTGAGATGGAATTGAAGGATATTGAGAAATCCTTTTTAGAAGTGTTATTCTATGACAGGATTTATGGCTATGTGAGGGAGTTTTCTCCCATTTTGGATGGTTAGAGAAAGACATAGAATTATTGTTATAGTAGAGTCTTGTTATGCACTTGAGTTGTTTGATGAAATGCCTAGTAGAGGTTTAAGTATGAGTAGTGAACCTTAATTCTTGCAACATTGCATGTTGGCATTTCATAAGTGCATTAGTGGAGATGAACCATCCATATGTATTATTTGTGCATTGAGAAGTGACTTAAGAAGAGTAGAAAACTTTGTGTATGCACTTGCTTTATGAGTAGAGAACTTTGTGAATGCAACTACTCTACGGGTAGAGAGAATGAGAAGTGCTAGAGTAGAGAAAGTCATTAGAAACGGGTTGATGCTTTGTGATCGTCACCCGATATTTAGTAAAAACGGGTTGATGCTTTGTGATCGTCACCCGATATTTAGTGGAAACGGGTTGATGCTGTGTGATCGTCACCCGATATTTAGTAGCAACAGGTTGATGCTTTGTGATTGTCACCCGATAGTCATTAGAAATGGGTTGATGCTTTGTGATCGTCACCCAAAAGTCATGAGAAACAGGTAGGTGCTTTGTGGTCTCCACCCGATAGTTATGAAAACTGGGTAGATGCTTTGTGATCCTTACTCGGTAGTCACTAAGAGCGGGTTGGTGCTGTGTGAACTCCACCTGATAGTCATTAAGATTGAGATGGTGTTGTGTGAACACCATCCGGCCGTACCTCCGGTAAGATGAGGCCATAACGTTAGTAGAAAACCATAGAAAGAAAGTGTGAGGAAGGAATTAAGAAAAATAGTTACGGGGATAGACAGATATAGAGTTTACTTACTGAGCATTATTTTGTGCTCACCCCGTCATTTTCCTTTGTGAATGCAGGATCTAGGTGATGTTGTAGTCGGAGGGGCGTCAGCAAGCAAGGAGCAATAGCTACACTGTTTCCCCTATTTTTGTCTTTTAAATGGCATTTTGTAAAATAATACTCTTTGTGTGTATGAAAGACTTATTACATATAATAAAAAGAAAAGATTTTTTTTGGGCCCATTTCCTATTATGATTAAGCAAGCATTTTACTAGTTTACATCAGTTGTTACAATGAAGCTTTTCTGAGTAAGGGATTTAATAATTGGAAAGATAAAGCAAAAGTGAAAAAACATGTTGGAGATCATTTTAGTACTCATAACCAATGTCATGCCAAGTGTGTTGATTTGGTGAACCAAAGGTAGCACATCAATGTAAATCTTGCTTGCGTGTCGAAAAAGGATAAACTAGACTATTGCATTCGCTTGAATGCATCAATTGATTGCATTAGATTTCTTTTACATCAAGGATTGGCATTTTGTGGTCATGACGAGTCAGTTGAATATGAAAATCAAGGTAACTTTATGGAACTAAAGTTTCATTTGATCACAATGACGACATAAAGAAAGTTATGCTGGGAAATGCTCTGAAAAACCATTAAATGACGGCCCCCAAATCCAAAGGAAACTATCTAGTGTTTGTGTTTATTTGACGA